TAATCTGTATCATAAATCAAACCTAAGTAAAACTAAAGAGTATATAATTCAGCATTATTCTCTCACTAAATTAAAGCTAATAAAGAGAGCGGTATACATATGCAGTTTAGTTTTTTAGAACAAAGAATCGTTAAACGCTCAACATCACATCCGCTGACCGCGGCTTAGCGGCTAACTACAAAAATTTAAACACATCAGATCAAATTTCATACTCACTGCGTTGCTCTGAACTTCTTCTGAAGGTTTTAATGAAGGAACTTTCCTTGTCAGAGTCGATAACAAAATGCAATACTTTTTCCTAAAATAAAGTAAAAATACAAAATACTTCAAGAATTTAAAAAATACACCAATCTGCAACAACATGCTGCCAATAACTCAATGATACATAATTTTCAATTAACAAGACCATGCAGGCGTTGATGGTTTCACAAGAATTTCAGATGTCATCTCGTCCTCTCAACTCTTGATAATTGGAACGGTAACCATAAAGGCATTTTAACGAGGTCGATACTCAAAACATTCATAACTCATTCACATTCCTCAGAAGAAGAAAATCCCACTAGAAATCGCAACAAAAATTGCAAGTGTAAACCGACCTATATATATATATATATATTCACCTCTTTTATCTCGGAACTTCCACGGCCTTTTGGACAGAAGAAGAATAATTGTGTTCATCATATAGACAGCTACCGGATATTAGCAATTCTGCTATCTGATTGGCTCTTAGCCTGCTCGCAGACGTTAATTGGCTCTCTACTAGCAGTAGACCAACTATATAAATCATGTGATTATGACTACATGTTATTCAAACAATACCATTAACAACAAAAATTCACAAAACCGGTTAATGTCTTGTTTTGCGGGTTTGTTTGGGGAGGTTTGGGGGGGTGTTTTGGGAAAGGTCAAAGCAGATCCTCCTCAGTGACAGTAGACCGACTACGTTTATACTATAAGCGCTCACGTTTTCACTCGAGACAAGTAGGTTTTTCTCCGCTTAGTTTTCGGCTTATTTCAACCATACCATGTTAGTTAGTTGCACCATGGGTTGTAAAATAACTGGATAGGAAACTCTAGCTGACGTCACAGTCTAAACCTAGTTGCAATCTGTGACGTCACATGTATTGCCAAAGTTCTCAGCATTTTTGTTGTTTCGCTATATTTTCCCCTTTAAAAGAGTAATATTGAAGCATAAATTGGTCTAATTGTTTTAAAACATGCCTAAGCCACGACAAAGTATTCAAGGTAAATGTTTTTCGTCTTTGTTTTGTATTTTTTAACATTTGTAGCTACGAAATTGGCGTCGCCAATTTTTACGAAATTTGCGATGCATTTTTCACTGTTTAGTGCTTGAAATATTTGCTAAAATTGACCGGGAATACTTAGAGATTTCATCGCAGAATGGCGTAGTTATATTTATTTGCTCTTTGACTAAAATGACCTATGCGTGCACAATGCGTGACGAATTCATGACATGCGGGCCTGCCGTGAAACAAGATATTATGAAATTCATCAATATAAAATTGACTAATAAAGTATTTTCAATTGTTCGCAAATAATATGTTGAAACAGAGACAGGATGATATAGTTAAACGTGATCAAGAATCACGTATAAATACAGAGTCCTAAGCAATAAACGGCACTCAACGAAAGAGTGCGGTGAGCCGAACCAAATTAATATTAATAATATACGCTGCATGTGTATTTATGTACTTAACATAACTTGTTCTATTGTTTCATAGTTTCATGTATGATGTATAACGATGCTCACTTATGGAACTCCAAACGAAATTAGAGAAAGCAAATCCCGGTCATGTTTTCAAAATTCGAGCGCCAAAACGGATTCAATTAGGTGTCAAGATGATTCCAAATAGGAAACATGCAGCCTCGTCCCAGACGTGTGGGTTCGTGGCGCGACGCAGCTGGCAGTGGACAACATGATAACTTTTATTTCACACTATTTCAAGATAATACAAATACAAAAGATACAAGTAAGGTAAACATAGTAGACGTTTCGAAAACCAATACGTACTATTTCGTAAATAGACCTTATGCGTAATAAGGTGGGAGGGAGTGGGAGGCTCATTGTATTTTCGTACAAGTAAATATAACCATCCAACAAGGATAGTTGGGATGAAATGTGCAACCTCGATTAATTTGTGATGAAGTTCAGACAAAGGATTTTTGCACGGTGAGGCATACTTCAACACCAAGCAAAGGCCTTCTATTTTGTGTCTTTGACGTTTGCCAGACTTCCAGACCTTCATATATCTTGATAGACTATGGTAGAATATTCTAAAACAATTACTGATAATTTTATAGTAACTTTATTACTTTAATGAAGATAACATCAACTCCTGTAAACTATATTACATATATAGGGAGAGAAAAGTGAAAGTAGTCACTAGTCACACGATTATATTACAAGACAAATTATTTAAGTTAATATATTGGTAAAGGAATTATCCTTTTCGGCTTTTGTCAATAGTAACATATGCTAGTATAGCGGTTTCTAGATTCCTGCAGTGAACTGTGCTGTTTTAAAACGTACAAACCAGCCACTTAGAGATTATACTTATAGCCAGTGTATAATTACTAATTTTATTACGTAGTGAACAAAATTATGAAATATCGCGAACCACTACTGTCTACTATTCTCTATAGAGGAAGCCAGGAAGGGAATACGCCAGTTTGTAATGTCGACTGTGTCTCCATGCAAATAACGCGTGCTGACACGTAACGGAGATATGGTGGAAGATTTACAATATGCATATCAAAGTGCTCAAGTGTTCAACCATCCATTTGTGTTTTACATATTGCCACGCTGTAAAGAACTGTTCTATTTAAAACTGTTTTACTCTAGCATATTAGAGAGGTGCAGATTTGGCTTTCACTATCGCTACCTCTGACATACGCTTAATACACATTTGATTGGTTAATCGGGTACATCATAAACGCATCTGATTGGCTAATGGTAGCGAAAGTCAAAATCTAAACCTCTTTAGCCCCAAAACAACAAATTTTAAATGGAAAATGCTAAGTCCCAAATCGACGTACGAAGTCTCAGTTACATGTTATACTCAACAAAATCCTTACACAGAACGCGCTATTTGCAAATGTGCAGTTGGACACTACCATAGAAACAATAGAAATGATAAATAGATATAATGCATATCTAGTATCTATTATTTCTATGGACACTACGAGTTGATATATCACTATTGTCAGTCCACAATAATCTTAATAAACATCACATCATCCTTGATGTATTGACGGTTATTCAAGCTACCAAGAGGCATAAAGAGCGGGGAACCTGACGCGATATTCATATTGGACTTCGGACGTTGAAACGAAGAACTTTGAGGATCTGAATTAAACGCATCAATCATATGATCTCCATGCCTTGATCCAACAGCATCATCGTGATCTTCTTTTGCAACGGCCAGGTTAGAAGAGCGTCGTAGTCGCCTTTCATCACAACGAAAAACAAAGATAAATGCGACCCTTTTCCAAATCCATCTCCATTCATATATAGTTTAGCACACATCTTATATCCAAACTCACTGGTGTAAAAATATGGACTAAATATGGTAGTCTTTACTCCATTAACAGCGTCTTGTCGTTTCCTCTGGTAGCCTTCAATCTTCCAAAGTAGAACACCATTGTAGTTCACTTTAGTTTGAGATGGTTCTCTTGGTTCGAGGTCTGCAAACCTGGCTGTTATAACAGCAACGGATTGATCGATCTGTTCCATCTTATTTTGGTATCTTTCTCTCGCCTCCATTGCTTCTCTCAGTTGTGTTTCAAGTCTGTTATTTTTTGCTTGTAATTTTTCTATTTCCTTCCCCATTCTCACCTCAACTTGTCTGATTTCAGCGTTACTTCCTGAACCGTTAGAACTACTTGCTCCATTTAAATCCACGTTTTCCAGTCTTCTTATTAAACCATCTACAGTTCCCATCATTGTAGAGAATTTACTTTCCATGGTTTTAATTTCGGCCGATATCCCATCTTTTACTCTGTTGACTTCGTCCAAAACCAGTTGCTTCGTGGCAAAATTCTCGAATTTCGGAGCAAGATTTTGCATGCCGCCTTGCAATTCGAAAATAAATCTCAACAACAGCCGAATGTGAAAACGAGACGCGTCCTTGTAATGCTTGCGAAGCTCTTTTCTTTTACTCACCTAAATAAATAACATTATCGAAATCGTTAACGGACTGAAGTCGTATTATAAATACAAAACATGATCTTTCAAGACTAATATAAATATACAGGAATGGGGATTCAGTTGGGGGATGGCTGGGTGTGTACTCATCGACCATTGGACATCGTTCTGGGTTCGACCATTGACCATGACAAGTGCGTAATCACTAGAGGGAACTACGGCAGGAAGGTACTAGTCTGTGAATCTTGTTTGACAATTTCACAATCATGTTACTACCTCATTTTATCTCGATTTTATTTTTGTTTTTGTAACTGCTGTTAACGTTCTAAATCCGCCTTTCAGCCCCCCCCTCCCCCTCCATTTGCAAAGGCAAGGAAGGGTGTACACCCCTCCCCCTTTCCAGTAAATCCATCTCTGCATATATGAAAAGAATGACCATTACTTTCTCTCTGTAATACCTAAAGTTGATCACCATTTGTTGGACAACAGATGGCTTCACTACTAAGCACTATCGTGCAACAGATGCTGGTCAATCTGCAGTTATCAGAGTAAGGAAATAATGTTCATTCTTCTAACTATACGTCGTAGTCTTGTAATAGTCTTGTCAGAGATGTAGTTTAATTTTAACTGTCCACACATTTTTGAAGTTGGCTGTCTTGTCATCCTCACTGAAATCAACCAATACAGTGTACTAACGCACTAACCTTAGTATAGTCGCAGCCAATTGATTTAAAATCACATTCCACGTCGATTTCTTCACATTCCTCAGTCTGATGATTTCTCATTTCCTTTCGAGGTATATTCGTTAACTGACAATATTCACATGTGAGGGGAGCTGCCTGACAACTTTCTGATACATGTTGCTATACAAAAAAATAAGCATAGACAATTGTATAAAATAGAAAATTCTAATTCACTGTAAAGTGGGCAAATATATTTTCTTTGCATGCGCTGTGAAGTTTCTTGATTTAATATTTAGATTTTTCCAATTTCCGGGAACCAATGGTTCCATGGTCCACCATGGTCCGAGGTAGAGGGGAGGTGTTGCAGTTGAGAGCTGATTGCGAATGGCACAGCTCAGATGTGACCAAGTTAAGACTCACTATAGGGCGCCTCTGCATACGAGCATGTCTTATCAAGGAGTAGCTCCGATAGAAGGGTCAGTTTTTGTTGAAGGAGAACCAACCAAACTCTACTTATGTGTTTTCAAACAAACTCAAGTCAGAATATAGATACCTATCAAGTAACAAGCCCTCCTCTCCACCTATACTGTACCGTAGCAGGCTCAGTTGTGTCAGCGGTAAAGATCAGCGTGCTAACATACCTGGAATCCTATTTGATATTATCAGAGTACAATAGTCTGGCGTTATATTAAACCAGCAAAGTTAAATGATAATATAGAGGGCGTTAAAAAAGGTTGAAAGAACTGCAGTGTTTCATGTCTCTAATCCCCAAAATAGCTTGACTTGTGTGAACATACCTCCACAGAAGCAAAAGGCAACGTTTCTTGACAATTTTCACACTGGACTGATCGATATAGACATTCTTCCTTTAAATGTTCTGCCAGGAGTGAACGTTTGATTTTAGCTTTACATGGAGTATGAACACATATTATCACGGTGTACTCACATGAGTCGATGTGAGCCTAAAAAGAAATATGATCGTTATAACACTTACAGAAAAAAACCCTAATTTATTAGTTAGTGTGATTTTCTAGTTTTGTACCGTTACAAGGTGCGCGAAATGAAAACTGCGAAAAAATATCGCATTTAGTTAGGTACGCTAACTACATCGCGCGAAATTAAGTATGATTTAAAACTGAGCGAAAATTAGTACAACACGAATATACAAAGTATACAGTCATTTACAGTCGCAGAATTATTTACCTGCAAATCTTTTCCCGCCCCAAACCAATCACATTCATTATTTAAACAATGTAGCTCCAACGACATTAGTTCTCGCTTTGTGTAACCATCGAGAAAAATCTAGGAAAAATTTATTTTGTATGGTGTCATCATTTATATGGTTTTGTTTTGGAGGGTTATAGGCCGTAATAGTGAGGTCTAATTTTGACGTTCAATACCACTACCATTCAGAAACCAACAACCAATCAGATGCGTTTAATCTACCCGATTAACCAATCACATACGTACTTAGTCACTTTGCGGTAGAGGTAGTGGAAGTCCCATCAAAACAATGACTGACTGGATGGCATGGAGAACAGTGGGATTTTCAAAACAATGAAAAGACAATGGAACATTCTGATCACTGGATCATGACTGGATGGCATGGAGAACAGTGCTAGTGGGATTTTCAAAACAATGAAAAGACAACGGAACATTCTGATCACTGGATCATGACTGGATGGCATAGAGAACAGTGGGATTTTCAAAACAATGAAAAGACAACGGAACATTCTGATCACTGGATCATGACTGGATGGCATAGAGAACAGTGGAATTTTCAAAAGAATGAAAAGACAACGGAACATTCTGATCATTGGATCATGACTGGATGGCATAGAGAACAGTGGGATTTTCAAAACAATGAAAAGACAACGGAACATCCGATCACTGGATCATGACTGGATGGCATGGAGAACAGTGAGATTTTCAAAACAATGAGAAGACAATGGATCATTCTGATCACTGGATCATGACTGGATGGCATGGAGAACAGTGGGATTTTCGAAACAATGAAAAGATAATGGGACATTCTTATCACTGGATCATGACTGAATGGTACTGCTAAGTGTTAAAGGCCATTCAGTGGCTATTTGCTGCGAATATATAGTCAAATGTTTACATGTCTCATTGAGATGCTATACAAGTTTTACTCCGATCAATATCACTTTAAAGGGAAAATCTTGGACGGAAAATAGTTAACTTACTTCCTTCTCATTAAGCGAGGCTCCATCTTTTGGACACACTGGATTGGCTTGGCTGAAATATAAAAATTAGTCCGTTTAGTCACCCGATTTACATTACTCAGTTTACATCACTCATGCATGTAAACGGTCAAACTATATCTCAAGTAGTCTTCATCTTGCAGTCGCCGAGTAAGGTCCTGTTTACATGAGGCCGGAACGAGGTCAAACCAGGACCATTTCGTTTCGGTCATATTTATAATAGATGTTTACATTCCGCCTGCTGGACCGAGCCGACTGACTTCAGACCGGTGTCACAGGAGATTCGC